CAACATCATGAGGTCTATTTGGCTGACCTCATTACCATCACTATACCCTCAGCTCTCCATCACCACCACCTCTCACAACTCCTTCATTGCCTCTAAATTGTCAGCTATTTGTCCAGCATCCAGTATGGGATTAGCAGAGATTTCCTCCAATTAAATGTCAGGAAAATAAAGCCACCAACTTTAGTCCCAAATACAATCTCTATTCCCAAACAACAACTTCATCCCTCTGCCTGGCAACTGTCTGAAGCTGAATCGCTTGCAAATTCTTATCAATTCACCATCACCATTACCATTAAGATAATCTACGTCTACCTCTGTAACATTTCCTAACTCTGCAAATACCTCAGTTCATCTGCTGCTGAAAGCCTCATCCATTCCTTTGTTACCTCCAGACTGTTCTAACACACTCTTGCTCTGTCGCATTGCACATGCTGTAAGCTTGAGGTTATCCCAACACTGCTTTCCATGTCCTTACTTATACTAGTCGCATTCACCTTTCATCCCATGCTCACTTGGCTTATATCGGCTCCAGGTTAAGCAATTACTCAATTTTAAAATTTTCATCTGCAATTTCAAATTCCTCCATGATCTCATCCCTCTCTATATATGTAGTCGCTTCCAGCCACCTAAGGCTCGGACATATCTGTATTCCTCTAATTCTAGGCTTTAGTACATTCTCATTACAGTCGCTTCTGCCATAATGCGATAATTGCATTCCTGTGCAACATCATGTTATAGAAAATCGCACTATAGAAATAATGGGGTCTATGGGTAAAGTGGGGCTAGGGGCAGACCACCAAAAAGTATCACTCAAAATCGTTCAAAAATCACTCAAGCCTAACACAGGATAGCACAGTTTGATTAAATGTTTAATTCATATCTAATAATGAAATAAAAGTACAGTTTACACCTTAACTTAAAAAAATGTAAGATGACTTGATAAGGAGGATGTTTTGAGGTTGCTGTGTTGTTAATGCAGGGGCTGATGGTTGTCGTTGTCACCATCATCATCATCATCTTCAGGTGCAGTTGTGGTTGCAGGGTTAGGGCAAAAAATAGTGAATCCAGAAGTGGATGGCTGTGGTTCGTTGTCTTCTGACTGTTTCTTGGGGGTTGGCTTTAAAAAATACATCCAGTTTTTGCTGCTTTTCCCTTTTTCTTCTTTCATGAAGAAGCTGTTCATAGAGTGCCAAATAAGATCTTATTCCACAAACTGCTCGTTGTCCTCTAAGAGCTGCAACACTTCTCAATTTCCCTCAGGATAGAAGACAAAAGGAAGTGGAAAGGACTTGTGATGCTGCATCCTGGACTTCATCTTCTTCATCTTCACCTTCCATTTCCCCGTCAGTGACAAGTTGTTGTAGATTAGCTGTAGAGAGGTCTTCACAGTGAGACTCAAGCAGTTCTTCAATATGCTCACTCTCCACTTCTTCAAATCCAAATTGCTTTGCAAGATCAACACAATGTCCTTTGATTCTTGGGAGCTCCTCTGCCAGGTCAAAGCCTTTAAAATCTTGAATAAAGTCTGGGAGAAGCTTCCTCCAAACTGCATGCAAGCAGTCCTTACCGACATCACCCCAGGCCTCCACGATAATGTCAATTGCATTCTTGATGTTTAAGCTGTCCAAGATTGAAGAACATTGTCTCTAAGCCTCTCAGTGGCTGCAATCAGCTTTTTAAATATGTGCGTTAAATAATAAGCTGTAAAAGCTGCTATTACAGCCTGGTCTATGGGTTGAAGGAGAGAGGTTGTGTTTGGGAGTAGAAATAGCACTTTGATGTTTTCAGAAAGCTCACCAATGGTGGGAGGGTGAGTTGGCGCATTGTCCAGGATGAGGAGAACCTTGAAATCCAAACTATTTTTCCTGCAATACTTTCTAAAAACATCTTCCAAAACTTCAACAAAAGGGTCAGAAAAAATTGTCCCGTCACCCAACCTCTTTTGCTTGACCTAAAGTAGATGCCTAGAGTAGATTTAAGGTAACCTTTCAAGGCTCAGGGGTTGGCAGAGTGGTACACAACCACAGGCTTAAGCTTTAAGCCTCCACTAACATTGGCACCCAGCAGCACAGTCATACAAACCTTTGCCACCTTAAAGCCTGGAGCATGTGCTTCTGCATAGATATGTAGGTTCTTAATAGCATTCGCTTCCAGTATAAATCTTTCTCACTCAAATTGAAAATTTGATTTCAGCTATAGCCTTCTCCATTAATTAATTTTTTTTTACTTTGGGAGGAATGCATGCTCATCATCTGCGCTGGCAGTTTCGTAACATAACTGTAATTTATGAAAATCATAAAACCAGCCACTGCTAGCACTAAACGCAGGCACATCTGCAGAATTTTCAGCTCTTTTTGTTAGATCTTCAGAAACTGATAAAGCTTTCTCTTTAACGGTGAGAAAGATAGTCCCAGATTGCTTTTTTGTTTGATTTTCTATCCACACACTTAGCTGCTCCATCTCCTCAAGTTCCTTTGTCTGTGAACTCACAGATTTGCTAGCACTCAGACTTGTTCCAGCAATATAGCTTGTTTTAATCTTTTGTGCATTGCCTATGATAGTCCGTAAGGTCCTTTATTCCTGTTATGTGAATTACTTCACATGTTCTCTCATTACACTCAAAATGCTTTATAACACCTAGCCTCTCTTCCAGTGTTGTAGCCTTTCTTTTACGTTCACCACCTGCAATTTTATCACCAGGAGGCTTCTTGCTAACATTCGTGTCACTTTGTCCTCACATTTTTGTGTAGGGGGTACTCACAAAAATCACGAACAAGCTGACTAACTGCCCCACTGTACCATCCCACTGTGATGGCACACTGCCTGCTCCTGATGTGGCCTCCTTTACATCGGTGAGACCAAGCGGAGGCTCGGAGACAGCTTTGTAGAGCACCTGCGCTCTGTTTGCAACAAACAACAATACCTTCCAGTCACGAACCATTTCAACTCCCCCTCCCACTCCCTGGATGACATGTCCATCCTGGGCCCCCTCCAGTGTCACAACGACACCACCCACAAACTGGAGGAGCAGCACCTCATATTCTGCCTTGGGAGCCTACAGCCCAATGGCCTAAATGTGGATTTTATCAGTTTCAAAATCTCCCTACTCCCCGCCCTTTTCCCATGACCAATCCTCCCTTTCATACCTGCCTCCTTGACCTGACACAACCTGTCCATCTTCTCTCCCACCTATCTGCCGCTCCCATCCCATTGACCAATCCCCACCACTGCCTACCTGCACTTACCTATCACCACTCCCATCTACCTCCCCCAGCCCCACCCCTCCTCTCTATTTATTTCCCAGCTCCCTTCCCTTTCCCCATTTCTGAAGAAGGGTCCCGACCCAAAACATCAACTTTCCTGCTCCTCTGATGCTACCTGGCCTGTTGTGTTCCTCCAGTTCCACACTGTGTTATCTCTTAATGCGTGAAAATGTGAGGTTTTGCGCTTTGGCAGGAAGAATAGAAGAGCTGAATATTATTTATTATGATCAGAAAGCTCAACATGGCGAGATTTGGAGACTCTTGCGTAGAAATCCCAAAAACTGAGCATTCAAATTCAGTAGTAAAAGGGAAGGAAATTAGAATGGTGGCCTTTATTTCAAAGAGAATGGAATATAAAAGTCATTAAGTATTGCTAAAACCGTACAAGGCAATAGTTAGACCACAGCTGGAATATTGTGAGCAGTCAAGATAAGGAAAGAAGTATGTACATTGGAGGCAGCCCAGGGAATGTCAATTAGATTGATATTGGGTATAGTGGGACTGTCATATGTGGAGAATAAATTGGAAGGATTTAGTAGGATATGGGCCAAATGCTGGCAAATGGGACTAGGTCAGATTGGGTTGTCTGGTCAGCATGGACGAGTTACACTAAAGGGTTTGTTTCCATGTTGTATGCCTATAAGACTCTAGATTGGGCCTATGGAATTCCAATTCATTGGAATTGAGAAGAATGAGAGGTGACCTTATTGAAACATACAGGATTCTTAGGGGACTTGACTGGGTAGATGCAGAGAAGTTATTTCCCCTTGTGGGAGAGCCTAGGACCAGAGAGAACAATCTCAGAATAAGGGATTGCCAATTTGAAGACAGAGATGAGGAGGAATTTCTTCTCTCAGAGGATAGTCAATCGGTGGAATTCTTTGCCACAGAAGGCTGTTGAGGCTGGGTTGTTAAGTATATGCAAGGCTGTGATAGACCAATTTTTAATCAATAAGGGAAGCAAGGATTACGGGAATAAGGCAGTGAGTTGGAGTTGAAGATTATCAGATCAGCCATGATCTTATTGTATGGTGGAACAGACTTGATGGCTGAATGACTTACTTCTGCTCTTATGCCTTGTGGTCTGTTGGAGTGTTAGGATCTGGAATGTCCTCGTAGGAGCAAATTACTGCAGGTGCTGGAATTTGTACTGAAAACAACAAACACTGAAAATCATAGCAGGTCAGGCAGCATTCCTGGAGAGAGAGCAAGCCAATGTTTCAAATCTAGATAACTCTTTATCAGAGCTTGCTCTATCTCCCCAGATGTAATTTCCAGCAATTTTTTTTCAGTCTGGAATGTACTGTTTGAGAGTGAGGTGGAGGCATTGAAAATGGAACTTGATTGGCATCTGAATGAAAGAATATGTAGAGGAATGGGAGAAGGTGAGGGAATGGCACTGGGTGAGCCATTTTTTGAGACCCCAGCAAAGAAATGAACCAGTTAGCCTCTTGTGTTGTAACCAATTTGGGAAGATAAAAATTTGTCTTTCTGTCCAAGGTTTTGCCCATCAGTCTTAAGATCTTTGTTCCTGACTCAATGTCAAAGTTCATTTGGTAATAAGTACCTGCTGATATTTTCCAATGTTAATTTTTGTTGATGGTAGTGATTACAGTTATTGCAGATCAGATGTCTCATGATAACAGTAGAGGTGAAGATCATTGCTTTCCTTAAGCTAACACATGGGTCAATTTTTCTTATCCACATACGCCTTTTCTTGTGTTTGCTGCGTTTCAGGTCATATTGTTGTATTCCGTATCTGTATGAGAAACCATGTGTGTATGTATGGAGTTCTTGGGAAGACTATTCCTGGCGCTTGTATAATTCCAATCTCCTTGCAAAGATAGCAGAAAGACTGGTAGGTGTATTACTAAGACTGCACATTTATTTGACGTGGTGTGAGATCATGTTGCGAAAAAGAATGGATTTTTAATGAAAATTAACATTGGTTATTCACTGAATTGGCAAATCAGCGTGATTTGGGAAACTCTGGACATATTCATAAATTTAATTTGGTGTTCATGGTTGAATATGGGCAGGAGGTGACATTCATGGTAATGTCAATGGTTTGGTAATCCAAGCCCCAGGCTAACGTTCTGGGTACATAGGTTTAAATTCCACCATGGCAGATTGATGATAATCATGTAATCTTTGTCAATTGTTGTAAAAGCCTTTAGGGAAAGAAATCCTTAGCTCGTCTGATCAACATGTGACTCCAGACTAACAGTCATGTGATTGACTCTTACCACTGCCCAATGGGCAAATTAGAGATGGGCAATAAATGCTGGACTAGCCAGTGACATTCGCTTCCCATGAATGAATAAACAAAAAAATCTAGCCTAAACAAAACAATGATAACAAGGTGGGGAGGAGAAGTGAAACACAAGTCACAGGACCTGTGACACCGATGAGCAGTTAAGGGAGGGTCTGTAATGTTTGTGCAGGGGTTTCCCAGATTCTCCAGCACCTGGTGATACTGACTACATGGGCTGGGCTGTTCCAACTGAGAAAAAGCCCATATGACCCCTGATGTTAACGCAGCTCAAAATTGGAGAAATTCAAGACCAAACCCATTTTCCTTGTCTCTCTCTTCTTATCTTCCAAAGACTTTTGGTGAAAATTGGATCCATAATAAGGTAGGTAGGAGACTCCAAAATTGGAAGCCACCCCCACCATTTTGAAAAAAAATCATTACAGGGGACTTCAGCTGTTTAACAATACAGTTACATTGCCATTGCTATAACGTGATTGGCTGGGACAGGAAGGTGACAGTGGCATGTTCACTTTTTCACCAACTTTGGTGCAGAAGTGGGAACTGCGGACCTGAGTCATTCTTTTGGAGGAATGTCCTGAGTATACCAGGGGCTCTCCCACCCCAAGATGTCACTGCGCCCCCCCAAATTTGTGCCTTCCCACCTGGCCTTCAGAATGCCCTCGTCTCCTCCTAAAGGCGCCCAATCAGTTCCTGATGTGAACGTAGGTCTGGGATTCATTGCTCTTGTCATTGTGTGGTTGCCCACAATGGAGTGATGGGCCTGATGGGACTGTTAGATTTGCCGGTCAATGTCTCCCTGAGGGGCAAAAGCCCCATTCTCTGCTTGTTCAGACTGCAGGCAGGGTGCCATCACAGTGGGATGGTACAGTGGGGCAGTTAGCTTGTTCGTGATTTTTGTGAGTACCCCCTATACAATTCCAGCCCCCTAACCCCTGTCTCTTTCAAATGTACAGGAACTTGTTTAGCTTACACAGCATGGAGTCAACCCAAGGGGTAATTAGTCAGTGAGTTACTGTTTGCTCAGTGTGAATAGATCTCAGCAGGAGAGTGATTTAAAAATCATGGAATTGAAAAGATTGGCTGCTTTTGAAAAAAGAAAATGTTAGGCACTGTTTAACGTTTCAAATTCACTATCATGAAAGGGCAGTAATGATTAATCATCTGATTTCTTCAACCTTTTTCAGGAGGATGGTCTTGATGAAGTGGCTCACATGATAAAGAGACCAAAGTCAGAATCACACACTCAACTTCAACAAGTCTTGAATGAGTTTGTTGCTGGATGCAGGTCTTGTTTTGTTTTATCATCTTTATATATCAAACATAGAAACAGTATCAGAATCTTTTTCCATGCGTTTTTAGTTGACTTTATTTTTCACAAGAACCCAGAACCTTCTTTTCCTGCCATCAGTTCCATGACTAGAATTTCTGTGGATACAGAATGCAGTCTCTCCTGGAAAAGATTTTTTCTAACCCTTAATTTCAGGAGAATCATGTAAAACTCAGGAGATCTGCCTCCACGTTTACTCTGAGATAGTGGGAACTGCCGATGCTGGAGAATCTGAGATAACAAGGTGTAGAGCTGGATGAACACAGCAGGCCAAGCAGCATCAGAGGAGCAGGAAGGCTGACGTTTCGGGCCTAGACCCTTCTTCAGAAATGGGGGAGGGGAAGAGGGTTCTGAAAG